GAGGAAAGGACAACTGAGGTCAGCACAGAGTAATAACACTCCTTCTTTGTAATGAAGTCATTTGGTAACACCTGTAGAGCCCACTCCATTATGGAACAAATACTGGGTGACTTTTATGGTTTGATACGTTTGTAATGAAATTATGGTTTGAGAGGATGAAAAGGGTTCAGTGATTTAACAGAAAATTAACAGCTGAGTGAAGTGTTTTACTTTTGCTTTCCTAACTTGTTTGAAACACAGTATCTTCAGAAATAATAAATAGAGGCTGCGTTCTAAGACTAAAACTAGGCTGGACCAAATCAAAGTACAATGCAGATACCCACTGAACAGATCTTTCTCCTACGATCGGCTGTGGTAATAATCTTATGGTAAACTCTTATTTCACTCTGAATTTTAAAAAAGACAACATGAATAAGCTAAAAGTCAGGCAACAGCTTTAAAATTCAATCTACTTGTTATTGGGGCAGAAAAGACTGATTCAGAAGATGAGAGTACTTCCTACCTATGCTAATTATGTATGACCTACAAGTTAGAAATTGTTCAGCTGTGGAAGAATATTGTAGATATTGTCATAATGATTTCATATTAAAATACAAACCATTATTTTGTAATATATAAACTATGCAAGCAGGATTACTGTTGGTTAAGGTACAGAGTTGACACAAACATGACAAACCTGAAATGCTTTGCGTCCACTGGGAGACGACAGGCAGGTGACTGCACGCTGGTCAACCAGGTCCAGAGCCTGCAGTGCACAAGGCCCAAACACAAACTTCAGCCTGAAAGACATGAGGGAGAGACGAGTGAAAGATGTATAGACATCCATAACATGTTTTGAGTTTACATGTGTGGATGGCAATACACAACTTGAAAAATATACACAGAAACTGCTGGGTAGAAGTGTGAAGAAAAGATCAAATTAGACCAATTTAATATAATATAATACTCCAGTGTGTGTGTGCGTGTGTGTGTGTGTGTGTGTGTGTGTGCGTGCGTGCGTGCGTGTGTGTGACTATGGCAGAATTTCTCATTAAAAAGCATGTTCTGTCAGCCCCCTGTGGAGTTGACTTTTGAGTCTACTATTGGTAAAAGAACCAGCTTATTTGCCTCTTTTACAGTCACTTCACTTCTTCCCCGTATAACAGCTGAATCCTCACACAACCATCAGTCTAGAGTGAAGCTCTTGTTCTTTATTTTAGGTGAATAACACCAAAACTCTACATTTAAAGCTTATGCTACAAATGGCAAAACTGATTATTATTCTGTTTTCCATTTATAAAGTTGAACATTTTGCATCGACAGATAACAACAATGGGTGCAGTGTCAAAGTCTTTTACCCTTCACTTCACCACACTATGAAATCAAAATACATATTATAGGAATAATAATAATACTCTACAATCAATATGTATCACAATATAGCAAAAGGATGTAAGATAATCATATTGTTGTCCAATGCCAGTGCAGACATTAATCCCAGACAAAACTCTTCTAATGTAAAACAACGCAAATCATTCAATTTGCTAGTTTTTAATTATTCTTTACTTGCATCATCATTAATGTGAACAACATCATTTTGCCTGTAAGTGAAAGATGAGAGAAAAATAAAAATGGAACAATGTCTGCTTGCGAACTACCAGTGTGATTAAGAGCCCCTAAACCAGAGGCTTCCCGACAAACAGACAGGATGTGGCCATGTTGAGCCAGACAGTGAGCACCCCTTTACTCTCAGTAACTCAAACCACTATGCCAGGAAATGTCTCAGTAAAGACACAGAGGAGCATCATGACACTGTGGCTCAATGCTACGTCACTTTGGCAAATCCAGACTGTACAAATGCCTCCCACTTTCTCCACAGTGTGGCTTCTGGTATTCACACCCACTCAGCCACGTGCTGACGTTTTTCTCAACTCAGACAGGAGAGGATCCCTACATTCATGGGAATAAAAAGGATACTTACCCAATAAGCAGGTCATCAGGAACTGCAAAAAAAAGAGAAAAATAAGTAATTTCTTAAAATGTGTGTTTATGCATTAAAAATAATTTCACAGATTTAAGAGTGATGAAACTTTTATCATCAATCACTTACAGAAAAAAAAGGTGAGTGTTCATGCTTTACCTGTGTAATATGATCAGAGTAATGTGAGGAATCATTATCAAACCTCTAGCTGTCTCAGACAACCCAAAAGAAACTAAAAAAAAACAAAACTACACCACACATAGTTTACACAAAAAAAAATACACAAATGTGGAATCTGTGTAGAAGACAGAAATCCTCTGTACACTGCAGAACAGCAACCACTCTGCTGTTGTGTTAATGTGGTAAAGAAACTATATTTAGATACACAAACTGAACTTTTGCTTCTTGTGTACTTGTTTGACTTCATTTTGCTCCTTAAAAAATGTTTATGAGCTACTGGAGAACTGTGTCCAGACATGAGTGCCTGGTGTTTTCATTTTGTGATTCATTAAACTATTGTTACACTGCATTTTAATAGTATAATTATCTGATGGGTGCAGTTGGGAATTGCCTTTTTAGGTACGACTACTAAGAATTCATACACACACAAAAAAACTACTGGTTACATTTGTAAGCATCATAACCTATACTTGTGTTCGGAGTCACATATTTTTACACTGTGGTAATGCTGCTTTTGGTAAAGACCCTGACTACTTTTCTGTCCACTCCTAGTGATCCAGCACAAGTCTGTTGGGTAGAGAGGAAAGCTGATGGCCAAACAGTTATGGGTTCAAATCTAATGACTATTTCAGATAATACAAGTAAAAAAAATGGAAAAAAATGGAGCAACTGCTGAGATGGCCTCGGGCAAGGCACTGCATCCGTGTCAATTATTCACACCGGCAGTATTATTTAGTCCCTAACCCTGACTACAGAATACAAATTAAAGCAACTCTTCCTGAAGCCAAAACTAAAAGTAGAAAAGCCCTTCTGTTTGGTAATACAGATAAACCACAATCATTAACTAATGGTAATAAAAGTCTGATGAGGCATACAGAGCAATATTGGTATTAAGGGCTTGGCAGGAGGTAATTCTTTATAGACAATAAACACAAACCTTTGCTGTAGGTTTTGTGGAGCAGGGCATTCCCATATTTTATGTCCTGTCAGGGGGAACTGTCTTATATGTGACTTATATGTTCAATAGGTGAATCATGTCAGTCTCATCGTGTTGGACATGTTGTTCATAAAACTACCAACAGGCTTTTGTCACAGCACAGGTGTCATTAATAAAAAAAGTATGATGGATGAATTCCATTTGGCTGTTTCTGTTTCAGAGTCATGACTTACTGGGACAGATGAAGTGAACATAGCCATTGTTAATATTATTAGTACCACCTGAGCTGCTATGAAAAAGGCCTTTACCAGGACCCTGGAAACGAACACCTAAAAGAAAGAGCCATTATTGATGTTATTAATGACACCTGTACTTTTCCTGCAAAATGTCTGCTGTATAAAAGGTCCGTGAGTTTAGGTGTTTTAAGCCTATAGCAGTCTATAGTATGAGTAGCTTGCTGTTTAGAGAAAAGACTATAGAGATACAAGTGTGTGGCAGCGGCGCCTCCTACAGGACAAATATTAAAGTACATCACTGTAAAACTCCGGAACAACAATAAGTCCAGATGTACCGAAAGCTACATTAACGTTACTGCGGAGCACAGTAATGCGTTTAAATGAGTGGGAAAGTAAAGGTTAACAGTTTCCTCCTGACAAACATTAAGTTAATGTGAAGTTTGCTCAGAAACTTAATCGAGTTTATCACATTGTGCTTTAACCAACTGTTAGCTAGTAACGCTACAGATACTTTAACATTAAAACTGTCACATTTATCTCCCTCTGCGACTCGTGTCTTACTTTGAGATGTTTCCTGGTATGTTTTTTGAACATCTCGGAAAAGCTGTTCAGCCACTGCAGGCAAAAATGAGCGCATTTTTGTTTCCGGAAGTCATCGATTCCGTTAGCCAATAAGATACGATCAAAATATTACGACTTCCGGCTTGAACGTTTGTTGCCTCCAAAATAAAAGCCCCAGGCCAAGGCAACTACTACAATTTGGGAAATCGCTATCGCTGCCGCACCAGACAACTGACATATTAATGCCAACTTAGCTATACTTGGTTCGAGTTAATTTAATTTACTTATGTTGCCCTATATGGCACCATTTATGTGACTTTCCAATTCATTTTCTCATTAAACAGGATATAATGGATACATAATCAATTAAACCTCAGTGAACTTCTTTAACCAATCATAAACAGAATGAGTTAAGAAAATGACCGGGGTGTCCTGGTAGCTTACCTGGTGGAGTGTGTGCTCCAAGTACAAAGGCTCTTACTACAGTGGTCTCAGTTCGATTCCAACCTGCAGCCCTTTGCTGCATGTCATGTGTCTCTCTCTCACTCCAGTTTCCTGTCGCTATTCAGCTGTCACTATTGATTGGGGCAATAAACCCCCCCCCCCCCCACCCAAAAAAAGAATTGTAAAAAAGGAAAATGATCACCATCGTCTTCATATAGCACACAGAATATGCAGTGGCAAGCCTGCTGTAAAGTGAAGCCATGATGTACCTCAACAGCTGATTTATTTATTTATTTTTTTTAAATATGGCTCAAGTTTAAATGTATAACTTGAAAAGTAACATGAATGCAGTAAAAATGAAAATTCAGCAAAAACCTGTATTTTTTGCATGAACTATTTTCTGTAGCACAAAGGGCTCCAGTGTGTTAAGTGGTTTTCTATATGATTTTATGTTTTCCATTTTCTGTTTAATGGTAATTCAATTAACAGCTCTGCTCATTCACTCACATTTTGCAAAAGTTGCAATTTCTGTCACAATAATGTTCTTGTATACTGCATTAGATCACAAACAAAAGTGAACCTGAACAGTATTGGTGCACCTCAGCCAATGACAATTATGGTACAAGCTACAAGAAGAAAGTCATAGTAGTCAGTAAATATATGGCTATAAAGGATCTACACATTTTCAGTGGTGGAGAACTGAACCACTTTATTTGATTGGTCTGAACTCTTGTAATAGCCTACTAAGAGACATTGTGCGATACAAACATTGCATTTCAACATCATAGGATACACGGGTTTTCAAGTCTCAATTTCAAAAAGACAAAAAAAAAAGTCACCACTGTGTGTTTGATAGAGAGCTGAAAAGATGCTCTAATTCTTTTTCGGCTTCATGTCGGATTTCATTAAGATTCAAGTTTGTAAACTTTTTTTTGTCATTGCCTTTGTAAACACATAACATCCCATTTAAACAGGATGAATAACAAAGATGTTGAAAATGACAAAATAAAAATCTGAACATGTGCTATGACAAATGATTCAAAATCAATATGGAAGGAACAAAGGAAATATCAAGTTTAGAGCAGAACAGATTCGTTAACTGAGCAAAGTGAAAACTGAAGAAGCCAAAATATGGTATTTTTTCACATATCTAAAAAAAAAAAAAAAAAAAGACTTTCAAAGGAACGTTACTGCCGTTTATGAAGTTGACCTAGTATATTTCATATTCAAAGCTGTATGTCAGTTGATTGACACAATGAAAGCAGAGATTAAGTGGTCATGGTTTTGAATCACCATGACAGCAAAGTCCTAAACATTTAACGGTACCATACACTTGAAACTGTAACTGTGATGCCACACTACAAAAATCATGTACCAGCTACAAGAAAAGACAGGAAGTCAAAACATCCAGAATTCTGTGAGTGGTGGGAAAAACTTAAAGCACATCTTAGTATACTCCTGTGCTGGAGGTTGAATAAGTTACACAGCAGGTAGTATGCTTTTTTTTTTGTCAAAAGCTACGAAGCAAAAAGTGCAACAATGGTGCAGACCATTCTTTATGTTTGGTTAGTTTTGTCTTTTTGTGTAATGGAAAGACAATTTACAGAGTTCAGATTTTTGTCAGGACAGTATCAAAAAAAAAAAAAAAAAAAAAAAAAAGATGAAGGAAAAAAAAAAGAGGGACTACAGAAACAAATACAAACATCAAACATCAACGTATATCTCTGAGAAAATTAGTTAAAGCTGCCTTCTTTCTCAAGTCACAAGGCATGGCAAAACCTGACACTTTTTTTTTTACCATGACAACGTTGCAGAGCAGATCATTCTGGACAGGTTGGAAACTGCAGAGAGAGACAGCTACATGTGACACACCATGGCTCTATTGAAAAAAATAAAATAAAATAAAATTGGCTCACTCTCATTATTCAGACGGGGTCCAGGAGTAGTCATAAGGATATCTTTTCCGGTAAAATGAAGCTTATATCAGACTCTTCACCTTTCTGTTATGACACCAGTGTTCTCAACTTGTTTTGAAGACATTTCTCTGTCTATAACGGGATGAGAAGTTACCTCTACCATCTGATAGTTACAATCCATGCATCATCTCCACTATGTGGCAAAGACGGGCATCAAATATCAATGCTGTTTGAAATGTTAGTCTGTTTCATCCTCGAATGTCCACGGTGTTCAGGCTCTGGTGGTGCTTGGTGGATGGCGCGCAGGGTGGCACAATCTCTGTGCTCCACTCATGGTCAAGTACAAACCAAAAGGTCCGGTCTCTCTTAGCGTCGCTATGGTAAAAATATTAGAGTGGGTGTCAGGTGACGTGGGGTGGGGGTGGACTGGGAGAGACCAACTGTGATATTAAAGATTACACCCCTACTCTTCCCATTTAAAGTGGATCAATTTAAAAGCGACATTAAAATAAGAAATAATCAAGTTAAGAAAAACACTGCAAAAGGTTACTCTATTTACATACAATGATTTTCTTAAAGACAAGGTATATCTTTACATAAATCAAACAAAATTCAGAAATAGTCTCTTATGTTGTTTCTTTTTACATATTAAGTTCTTCATCTTCACTATAGCTCATGTCATCCCCTCAGTCGAGTTTTGTTTATTTCCCCGACAGGCTGAGTGAGTGCTTCCGGACCAAAAACTAGTCTTGTTCTGAAGAGCCCTGCCTGTCACAGGCTGCTGCTTGTATTCTCAGCTAACAGCCAGGGGGCGCCATAGCACCAAAAATAAAAAGGACACCACCCCATCTACTTGTCACACTCGCCAGTGAGCAAGGTTAGTTCTAGGAGGGGGGTGAACAGACAAGCCTTAGTGCAGGCCTCTCTTCTGGTTTTCAGGGCTCTAGAGAGCAGGGCTCAGTCATCGCTGTCAGACAGGGTCTCATATTGCTCTGACAGCAGAGACTGCCACACGCGCTGCTGGCCCACCGGGGCTCCAGCTGGAGGTGGCTGCTGCTGCTGCTGCTGCTGCTGCTGCTGCTGCTGGCTCTGTATGGCGGGTGAAGCTATGGAGGTGGGTGGCGTGTTGCTCAGTATGCGCATGGTCAGCGGGTTATAAGGAAACTGCATGGATCCTGGACAGGGAAGGAGAAAAAGAAATGTAATAAAATGTAGTTAAATTGGTACCAGGTATTTCTGTCTGTGAATTTACGGTTTTGAGACGGTAGAGGCTGGACACCTCACCTGCGGATGAAGGTCGGTCGTCCCAGCTCCATTGGGCTTGGGCTTGGGCTTGTCTGTGATAATCTCCCTCGGAGTGGACGGAGGACACTGAAGAGGGACGCTCCCCTCCAGAGTAGGCCTGACCCAAGTTAGGAGACTTCGATTTCCGGCTGTTGGCTTTGCCCTGCTTCTGCTTCCCTGTAGATTCAAACATGCAGAATGTGTAAATCCGCAACATGTTAAACATAAGATCCCTTCTGAACATGTGTTTTTTTAAGAATTTAATTTGCGCCTACCCATGCTGGGTGATGGGTTGGCCTCCTGACGGGCGTCACCACCTGTGCCGGTTGTACTGTTCATGGCACACTGAGCCCCTCCCTGGTGCTCCTCCGGTCTCTCCTCCAAATTGCCCATCAATGCTTTGCGAATGATGTCCTCCAGGCCGAGGTTACTGGCTGGATCACTAAAGGAGTGATTCCTGGGGTTGATGCTGCCTACAAATCAACAACACAACAAAACATATAATGAGAAAGGAGACATCAACTGGATTGAACTGTGAAGGGCCTGAGCAAGTTTGACTGCTACTTACTGGAGCTGGTAACAGCAGGCAAGTTGAAAATCTCTGTGCCTGGTTGTGCGTTTCCTGCAAGACAATTATTAGATGTTGAAAAAAAAACAGAAATTTAGTTAAACATAATACAGTAAGTCAAGTTGTTGTTTTAAAAGAAATTAGAAGGAATTAATTAAACAAATGTCTTGCATGCACACATATTAATAGAGTTTGTTCCATCATCTGATGAATGCATGTTAGTGAGGAAGAGGATAAGAGAAGACCCACTTACCAATATCAGAATCACCGACACCAGAGGTGGAGTTCAACTTACGAAAGATCTCCTGCTTCTTGGATTGCACCATTTGCGAGGTGCTCTCTAGCTTGGTGAAGAAGGAAGGCAGATAGCTGACACTCCCCGGGGATCGTGAGTCATTCCTTGAACCAGACAAACCAGAGGCAAAGAGTCAAAAAGCAAAGGGGTAACAGGGGCAACAAGCGTTTGGCACTAGGCAATTTCTCTAGTGTGATGTCAAACAACTGCTGACGGGTGGGAACACTGCCTGCTGGCATCCATACAAGAAATTGATTTACAGACTAATGCAGTCAGGCATCAAATGTCAGAGCACTAACAGGAAACTAACTTTAGCAATGTGTAGCTCCAGAGTAGAAATTCTGGTTACTTAATATTCACAACATTATTACAGGGGACAAGAAAATTGTATCTCAATACACATATACAAGCACAAAGAAAAGTCATCTCCCCTTTCTCTCTTGACTACAATTTATTGTAATCAACGACTACTGTAATTAAGCTTTAAATTGTGTTAGCTACTATCTTCCTACACTAGTGTGGAGATCCCATACCTGATCTCTGAGTTCTCAGCCTCTCTCCTCTGGGGTGGAGGCCCACCAGCCTCCTGTTTGTCAATGCCTTGGTAGTTCTGTGGTGGAGAGATGGGTTCATAGTTCTCCATCTGCCTGCCACCTCGATCTGGAGATTTACCGGGCCTGGACAGGGAGCAGAGAGAGCCAAAAGTCATGACAGATGATAAGTAATAAATGAGACTCAATCTGATTATTTCAGAGTTAACTGGCTGGTCCATGTACCTAGCTCTGGGCTTGTCAGGAGCATTTTCTGGAGAAACTCTGCTGGAGGGTCTCTGGTGGTGTGGGGCCTGGACCTGATTCTCTGGACTGTAGCGGCTGGGCACCTTGGCTCGCCCCGAAGAGGACACGGGTGGCACCACGCTCTGGAATGTGGCTGAAGCTGAAGAGGAGACTGGAGGAGGGTCCTGATTCCGGGCGAAGTCCTGGGTTATGATATGCTGAATGACAGGGAGTGACCATAGAGTTAGGTATGTACATGGCAAATCTGACATGTGGTAAACATCTCCAAATAATCTCCATTGTTTCTTACCGAAATATGGTCCGCCAAGGTCATGACCCGGTGAGTCTTGGGGACCTGGGAGTAGCTGTCAGCCTGGGAAGAGGGGGGCTGCTGGGGACTGGCCTGTGGTGGCTCCCCTGGTTGCCGGTAACGACTCATGTCGTAGGCCCGCATGCCAGCTGAAGAAGGTTTACCAGGAACCAGAGTTTTGTTTTGGAGAAAGACGCAGGGGGAGGTGAGGAGAGATAAGACAGGGAGGAATTAATATACTGCGTGCCAACAGCAACTGATCTACATTTGTTTTCAGGTGACAGGAATAACTTCAAGAGGGGTCTGGTGACGAGACTGGTACAGAGGAATGAAGTCTCAAATGACAAGGTCAGTGGGGTAAGTCATTCAAGCTATGGTATGTTTACTCCACTTGACTAGAAGCTAAATTTAGCCTTCACAGCCAAATCTGTTACACATCATCTTTGACCTAAAGCACAAAATATTTGAATAAAATGAGGCCTTAATTTAGTTATACTAAAATAATGTATACGCTCAAAATTAGTTGGTCTGTTCATACCTGCTGCCTGTTGTTGCCCTTCTTCTGGTTTGTCCTGTTGCGATTGTACTGGGGAACTAGCAGGACTGATCACCTCAATGGCTCCTCCACCGGTGTTGTCGTACCGACTGGATGACACTGCAGGACAAGTATGGACAAAAGGTTACAATGCACTCTAAGCAAAGGACACAAAATAAAGGTTTGGCCATGGTCTACTGGTGTATCCCTCAACACACTCACAGCTGCTAGAGGAGTCAGAGCTCTGAGAGCCTCGCTCCCGTGAGTCTTTGTCCGATGCTATCTGCCGTGTGATGATGACATCAATGAAGTTAGCGGCTGTGATAGTCGTTTTTCCACGAGTCCGAAGCTCCTCTTCGATGCGTGACTTTGAGGTTTGAGGGCCCTTGTCCTTAACCCCAGGACCCTCAGAATAAGCAGAATGGGGCTTACCCCCTGGCAGAGACATTGCACCATATGGTGACTGCATGGATCGCCTCTCTGCCTCCTGCTGCTGCTGCTGCTGCTGCTGCTGGTGCTGATGCTGATGCTGATGCTGCTGCTGCTGCTGCTGCTGATGCTGATGCTGATGCTGATGCTGAAGCTGCTGCTGCTGCTGCTGCTGCTGCTGCTGCTGCTGCTGCTGCTGATGCTGATGCTGCTGATGATCGGAGAGGGTGGCTGCTCGCCGAGGTGCAGCCGACGAGGACATGTCGTCATCCCGTTCATGTTTGCTTTCCTTCACCTTGGCCACATCCATCTGTGGGGCAGAGGCAGCGGCGTCCACCAGAGCCGCCAGAGCATCAGCTGCAGTACTGTAGCGAGAACTACTCTGGGCCGCTGCTGTCGCTGCTGCTGAATGGGGCCTGAGGAGGAAATAAAGAGATGAAGATTACTACATTTCCTGTAGGTTTGGTTCAATTACTACAAGTCTGACTAATGCAACTGAAGTCTACTGTCTAGACTTTTAATGTGTAAACACACACACAGCTTCCTAAAATTTTAACATGTAAATAAATTGAGGACAAATACATGAGCAGACACACACAGTGAGTGTTAAGAGAGCTGATGTAAATGCAGAGTTAGAATAAGACTTACATTAGAGAAGTGATGACACTTTTGCCCTGGAAGATGCTTGGCCGCTGTTGAACAACTACATCCTGCGTCCTGAGTAAGGGAGAAGTGGAGTGCAGATAACCTCGACTCACTGGCCGGCCTGGCTGCTCTGGTCCACCTGATACACACAAATACATGAAATTACTCTAGGTTTACATTATATACAGCACTGTATAGCATACACTAGGGGTGTCACGATTCTCCAAATCTCGATTCGATTTAATTTTTGATTTTAAAGTCACAATATTACTATTAATGCATTCCTTATATGTTGTTTACTTTTTTGGCCTTTTCCTATTCTGTTTCGGGGGGCTTTTATTTTGAAACCGCTTTTTATTTTGAAACCATTCCAACCGCGAGGTTGTAAACAGAACAAACATTAAACACGTTAACATAGTGAAATGAAACAACACAGAATGATGATTTGATTGTTTCAGCACACTCCGAAGAGACCCAAAGTTAGTGTTCATGGAATATGTACTTATCAATGTGCATTTTAAGCCTTAAAGTAATTTTGGACTGTAACTAGATCATCTTTTCACTTGCTAAGTTGAGTAGGCTAAGTTAGTGTTAATTGATGTGAATGAACGACAAAATACTTCCACACTGGTGATTTCAGAGTAGCAAGAGGGGCTTCGATTTTGGTCGGTTGATGTGTATTTTTTAACTGGCTGCAGCCTAAAATTAGAGGAGTGTTGACGCTGCAGTTCAGCACGT